GAATTCAGGTAAACAAGCCAATCAGTAACAGGGCAATAGCTTTGGGAAAACAAGTCCTGCGAGAAGTCTTCAACATGTCGCATACAGCATAGAGGCCTGTAGGGGCTGCAGTTGTCAATAGTGCAGCCATGTTTAAATGGCTTATATCCCACAGGAAAGAGGTCACAGTTGGAGGGGAATAGATGAGATCGGGACTGGGGAGGAACTGTGTTAGGATTGGAGGGGAATGGCATGGGGTCAGGGCTGGGAGGAGGATGAGGTGGGATCAGGGCTCTGGGGAACAGGATCAGGGGTGAGAAGGGAAGCTTAACCTTTGTACTGGAATCTTTTTGCTATGGGCACACGTGAAAAATAACCAAGGAAACAGTCATGTTATTCAGGGAGCTCCTGTCACGTGGCAGGCATTGATGTAGGTGCCAGGGTGTAAGAGCAACAGAAGAAAGCAGACCATTCCCTGCCCTCACGGAGCCACTGGAGTTATTAGAGGAGATGACTCCAGGGGAGTGGAGAGGAGAGTCACTCAGCCTTCCAAGCTTAGCACGTGTGGCTTCTTTGGAAAGCACCCCTGACCGTTTTCTGAGCTGCCTCTGCATCTCCGTCTCAGCTCTTTCCACACTGTGGTCACTAGCCTGTCTCTTCCATGCCTGGGGGAGTGCTTTGAGGGCAGGGGTCTTGTCTCAATTATCTTGATAGCCCCAGTGCCCAGCACAGAACCTGGTAGTTGACCTTGTAGGCAACTTGTAATGGTCTAATGAATGAATGAATGTCCTTGGCTTCAAGGACTCCATGAATCATGAAAATGGGCTATCCTGGTAATGCTCAGGAAGACGGTGGGACTTGGAGCAGGAGGAAGATTGTGAGCCAGGAGTCAAAGCCTTCACTGTTGGGATCGCCAGCAGATGGGAGCCATGGAGGAGCTTAGGGGGAGGAGGGCACGTGGCCAGGAGAAAGCAGTGCTGAGTGAGGCAGCACCTCCCTCAGAGCAGTTTGAGGCAGGAACAACCTCTGCCTGGGAGGGCTCCCAGGAAGGCTGAGTCGGGGAGAGGCAGGCAGGGTGGTCAGGCAATGCAGAAAGGATGCTATAAACCGATAGGCTTGCTGTTGAACCTGAGCCAGACCTCACCCACCCAGAGAGCTATCCCTGGCTGGGGGAAGTTGCTTAAGCTCTCTGAGGATCACCGTTCTCAGTCAACAGCATTTGTGTCTCAAACTTTTATGGTCTGTCTACCCTGTGTCAGCTACTCTGACCCAACAACAAGAAGAGAAATGATAGCTACTGTTTATTGGGCTCTTATTTTGTGCTAGGCACTGGGCTGAGTGCCTTCCATATGGTATTACATGATCCTTACAGCAAATCTTAAGGAGGTTCCCTGTGCTACCATACCCATTGTACAGATAAGAAAACCAAGCTCAGAGAAGTTAAGTAACTAGCCCATGTCATTGCAGCTGGGAAATGCCACAGCTAAGAACCAAACCAAGGTCTGGGTACCACCGTGCCCCCTCCACATGCTGGCATTGCACTTCTGCCATCTTTATGTCCAGCACTGAGCAAGAGAACCTGGCCCCTGGCTCGTGGTAGGCATTCAGACATTCCCTTATTGATGCCTTCTTTCCATCCCCAACTTTTGTCTTTCAGGACATCATCCCCTTCGGCAACAACCCCATTTTCCGCTACCTCTTTGGTTGGATGGTACCTCCCAAGATCTCCCTCCTGAAGCTGACCCAGGGCGAGACCCTGCGCAAGCTGTATGAACAGCACCACGTGGTGCAGGACATGCTGGTGCCCATGAAGTGCATGCTGCAGGCCCTGCACACCTTCCACAATGACATCCACGTGAGCCTCGGCTGTGCCCTGGGCAAGGCGAGGTGGGGCAGGGGAAAGCAGATGGGGCGTGGAGTCCGCAGTCTTCTCCCCTGAATGGTGTGGCCTTGGACATGCCTGCCCTTTGAGGCCTCAGCCTGCTCGGCCAGGGTCCCAGCTGGGTGACCTTCACTTCTGTGACCTGCTCAGATTGTGTCTTCTAGTGTGGCGGAGTCGGTATTCTCAGCCAGGGCTGGGGGGATTGGTAAGGCTGTGTTTAGGCAAGGCGGGGCAATCCCTGGATTGTGCTGTGAGCCTCCCTGTGGGAGAAAAAGCACCAACCTTCCCCTCCCCGGTCCACCCAGGTCTACCCCATCTGGCTGTGCCCATTCATCCTGCCCAGCCAGCCAGGCCTGGTGCACCCCAAAGGAGACGAGGCAGAGCTCTACGTCGACATTGGGGCCTATGGGGAGCCACGCATAAAGCACTTTGAGGCCAGGTCCTGCATGAGGCAGCTGGAGAAGTTCGTCCGAAGCGTGCATGGGTGAGTGGCCAGGAGTGTGGCTCAGAGAACTGTTCCACGGGGGTGTAGGGAAGGACAAGGGTGCCAGCTCTGGATTGAGAGCCAGGACTCCCAGGCTAGACCAGCTAATTACATAGGGACCCTCTAGTTGTGGCCATCTCTGATCCAAGAAGCAAGCATTGAAGATGGTGTTAGTTGTTACCCTTGACTCATGATGATGCCCTGCACAATGGAACAAAATACTGCCATCCCCATGCACAGTTGCAGATTGGACCATTGTCATCCGTCAGGTTTTCATTGGCTGATTTTCGGAAGTAGATTGCCAGGCCTTTCTTCCTAGACCATCTTAGTCTAGAAGCTCTGCTGAAACCTGTTCAGCAGCATAGCAACTCACAAGCCTCCACTGACAGATGGGTGGTGACTGTGTATGAAGTACATGGGCCAGGAATCGAACCGGGGTCTCCCAAATGGAAGGCGAGAATTCTACCACTGAACCACCACTGCCCCCATGAAGATGGTAGGGAGGGAGAGTTGCAGAACTTCTTGCCCCTTCTTCCTGCATCCCCCTTCTCCAGTGAACACACCAACACCCCTCACTGTTCAAGGCAAAAACCCAGGAGTCACCCCAACTATGCCCCACAGGGTAGATGGTGGGTATGAATTTAGATATATTCAGGGGCCACTGCCTCCTGAGACCTCTTCAGACTGAAAAGACCAAAGCTGAGGGAGGGATTCGTGACTATGAAAACCACTGAGAGGCTCAGAACAGACCGAGTATGCTCAGAGAACAGCCTGGAATGAACTATTGACATACACAACAGGAGTGAATCTCAAAATAGTTATGCTGATTGGAAGAAGCCAGGCAAAAAAGAGTACATACTGTAAGATTCCATTTATATAAAATTCTAGAAAATGCAAGTGAATCCATAGTGACAGAAGATGGATTGAGGGCTGCCTGGGGATGGCAGAGGGCAATGAGTAACAAAGGGGCAGGGAGAAAGTTTGCGGGTGGTGGAGAGGTTCATTATCGCAATTGTGGTGATGGGTTCCTGGTTGCATACCGTACTTTTATGCAAATAACGCTCACCTTCAACCTTTGTTTTGCCAACTGCTCCCTCCCCCATGCAGGTATTTTCCTAAACACCACTATGCCAATTTTTTTTCCATGTTACTGCAAAAAAAAAAAAATTAGCATAGTGCACTTACAGAAATACCTGGTGAGGAGGGAGGAGGGAGCAGTTGTCAAAAAACGTAGAAGGCACACGTTATTTGCATAATGCAGAAAAATACTGTACATGTATCAAGACTTAACCAAATTGTACACTTTAAATATGTACAGTTTATTGAATGTCAGTAAAAAATAAAAGCCGTACCACCCCCATGAGGCAAGGGAGTACGTGGGGAGGACCGAGCTGCAGGAAGGAGCCCAGCAGTCAGAGTTCCACTCAGGGCCACCAGTGCTAAACTACTTCACCCCGGAGCCCAGTGGGGATCAGCATTCCTGCACTGTCCTCCTCACTGGGCGTTTAGAAGACTCAAACACAGCAAATCCTCCCAAAGTGCCCCTACGTTGCAAAGCGCGCTGCATGGTAGGGCCGATTGAGTATCTCCCCCTCGCGCCTCCCTGCCCAGCTGACACTGCTGGACACCCTGTGTCCTCACCCTCTTGTCCACCTCTGCAGATTCCAGATGCTGTATGCCGATTGCTACATGAACCGGGAGGAGTTCTGGGAGATGTTTGACGGCTCCCTCTACCACAAGCTGCGGGAGCAGCTCAACTGCCAGGACGCCTTCCCAGAGGTGTATGACAAGATCTGCAAGGCCGCCAGGCACTGAGCCGAGGCCCGGCTGGGAAAGAGACTCGTGGGTGGAGCCTGTCCCCCAGGACTAGGAGGCATCTTCCCTTCACTCAAGCTCAGCTGCTGTCCAGCTTCACACTTTCAGATAGAAGCCCCTTCAGTGGTCCCACCCAGACAGCCCCATGGCTTTCTCCTAGCTCCTGAGGGCAGCCTAGGGGAGTGGAAAGAACCTGAGATCCGGAATCAGACAAACTTGGCTCCAGTTCCCAGTTTAACCACTCATTAACTGTATAGCTCTGGGCGAGTCAGTTAACCCCTCTGAGGCCCAGTTTCTTCATCTGTCCAAAGGGGATAATAATACTATAGGTCATTGTAAAGACTAGCAATCGTATAGGTCAAGCACCTGTCACATTATAGGTGCTGGGTAAGTGGTAGCTATTATTATTGCTTCCCATTCAGCACCACATCTGACTAAAATGCTTTGGATTCACCAGTTGAGTCTAGAAAGCTCCACATTAGGTCACCTGTGCACAGGTTTGGCTGGAATGATGAAGGGGATGCCCTGGAGTTGTACTGCCATTGCCTCAGTCAGCCAGAAGAGCTCCTCATGGGAGAAGGAACGTGCCTCTCCATCCCTGGGGCCTCAGGAGGGCAGCAGATGGAGCAGACAGACCCAAGAAGTGCTGTGCCAAAGCCAGGTCCAATTCCAAAGTTGTCTCTGCCGTTCTTGGTGATGTCCTGCCCCTTCCACCCCTCCTTCACACACGGCTTGCAGGCCCACCCCAGCCATTGCTGAGTCTGCTCCGGAGGACCATGTCCTGGAGAGGACATGTCAAGCCTAGGTCTGGGACCGCCAGGTGAAGGGAGTGGTCTCCACTCTGAATTGATCCCAAGGACCTGGGCCTGTATTTCTTGGCTCTCCAACCCTCCAGGCCTCCTCTTGTCCCCAGAACCTACTTAGGCATGGTGGGGCGCTTCCCTGCCACTCCGTGGCATGGGGGCTGGGGTGGGCCACACCAAGCCAGAAAACGGAGCCTGCCGTCATTACTTCTGTGAGGCAGGTCTGAAAGAAAAGAGCATCATGGACTTTTGATTTCT